TGGTCAATAAGCATATAAGAGAAATGTTCAGTCACTTTAATAAAGCTTAAAATTATAATTCCATTTTTAAAATCTATGAAATTGGCAAATATTAAAAAAAATAGACAATAGTAATAGGGAAGGACCAAATGGGCACTTGCATATATCACTAGTAAGGACTGTAAATTGGGATGACCTTTGGTAAAAAAAAAAAATTATCCAAAGTTTGGAAGGCAAAAATTATGATTGTGTAGCATTTGTTTTTATGCTAGGACATTGCCTAACAAGCCCACCCAAGGGTCAATTGACCCCAGGTGAATTGAACCTTGACTTGTTAGTTATTTACAACTGTAAATTTAGATGTTAACTTCTAGAAAATTGGTAAGATGCTAATACTTTTGTCCAACAGAGATATAATTTTTGTCTTTCACTGATGAAAATGATTTCTGCTCTGTAAGAAGATAGCACCAAAAATTATGGTTTATTGATCTGTAGGACATTAATCAGGTTTATGTCTAATAGCAATCATTTAGGATGATTGCAGTATTCTCTTTTTTTCCTACATTGATATATGTAGAAATTATATATATGTACATAATATATACATTATATATATGTACATAATTTCTTATATTTTTCTCTGAACCAGATTTGTTACTCTGATGATTTCCTCATTAATGAGTTAAAATAAAAACTTGACCTGTGTTTGTTCTGTATTTGTATGAGACTATTTTTTAACATTTTGAAAATTATATGCATGAGATTTTTATAGGTGTATAATTTGGCCAAATATCTTAAGTCTTAAAAATGTATATGCTTTTCTTACCTAGCAATTGCATGTCGAAGAACTGATCCTAAGGAGATAAGGATATGCTCAAAGATTTAGCTCTAAGAATGTTTATGGATATGCTATGTAGTAAAATATCAGAAACAAGTGTGCAACATTAGGGGATTGGTTAATACCGCTGTGTGTTTTAAGAATGGTTGTTTCTGGGTTCATAAAATTCGTAGATTTTTAAATTTTCTTTAATCTTGTTCATATTTCCTTTTGACACTTTTGAAAAAAAGAAAAAAGAAAGTTTGAAAGTCACAAAGTCTAGCTATCCTGTTCTTCCATTCTTATTGACATCTGTTGAGGTATTTAGCCCTTGACTATAGTTTTTCCCTCTGTTCCAATTCCTGCTATCTCAGGAACTTCAGAGTCCTTAAGCAAGATCAATCAAACACCCTGGGTTTTCAATTCCTTAATATCCCATTTCCAGTGACTTTTACTTCCTCCGCTTCACTTTCGTAATTTACTCAAAAGACATTTTAGATCTTGTCTTCATTCAGAATTGTTCAACTCTAATGCTTGTGTGCTTTTTGTTTTGCTTTGCTTTTAGATCAAAATGCCTTTATTGTTTTTCTGATTAAATTTTTTTGTTTTAAAATTTATTGTTTTTCTGATATTGTTTTTCTGATAGTGCATGTTTATAAAAAAAATTTCAGAAAATACAAAAAGATTAAAAAAGAAAATTAAAACATTGCAACTCAGGAATTGCTGCTCAGCATGTTTGTAACCTTTGAAACATTTTGCTAGGAATGGTTTTATTGTTTGTTTGCTTTACCTAAACAGGATCCTACTATTCATTTTATTTTTATTTTCTGCTTTTGCCACTGAACAATTTATCTTTGCAAATCAATAAATGCAGACCTTCATCAGTAGTATTGTGGCTGAAAAATAATTGTACAGCTATAACATTCTTTACCTAACCCAGGCTGTCTCAACCTCAGCATTATTGACACTTTGGGCTGGATAATTCTTTGTTGTGGGAGGCTGTGCTGTGCATTGTAGCTTGTTTAATAGGCTCCCTGTCCTCTGAATCAGCACTAGATGCCAGTAGCACCCTCCTCTACCCATGACAATCAAAAATGTCTTCGGATATTGCCAAGCGTCTTGTTTGGGCAATAATGTCCCCAGTTGAGAACCACTGATCTAACCAGTCTGCTATTGTTTGACATTTAGGTTTTATCTTCTTTGTCACAATGTAAAGCAGCGGCACTTATGAAGCTCCTAACATACATAAACTCAGCATATCTTCAAATAACTTCTACAGCATAAATTCCTAGTAAGGAATAGCACATTTAAAATCTTGATGTTTATTCCCAGATTGCCCTCCAGAAAGGTTGTATCAATTTATAGTACTATTGAAACAGCGTAAATGCCATTTTCGCAGATCCTGTCCACTGCCAAGTATTGTCAATCTTTTTATCCTTCTTAATGATAAGCAAGCAAAATATTACTTTATCCTTTTAATTTGTAATTCTTTGCTTACCAGGTTAGTAATCTTCACTATGTTTACTGGACATTTGTGTTACTGCTTTTATGAACTGCCTATTAATGCCCTTTGTCCATTGTTGATTTTGTAAGAGCTATTAACTATTTCTTCCAATTTCTTATTTTTCTTGTAACCTTTCTGTTGGCTTTTCCTGTACAGAGACATACATTCTTATGTTTTCAAATTATCAGCCTTTTTATTATGGTTTTACCTTTAATGGTGTCATGTTTAGAAAGATTACCTCTGAAATCTTAAACTTTGACTCTATTAGTATTTGACTCTATTAGGCTAATATTTTATTTTTCTATCTTTCATATTCTGACACTGAACTGTTTTGCCCTCTGGAGCAGTGCATCTCAAATATGGAAGTACATGTACATCATCTAGAAATCTTATTAAAATCCATGTTCTGAATCAGCAGCTTGGAGCGGGACAAGATATTCTGCATTTCCTGTAAGCTCCCAGGTGATGTCACTGCTGTCCCTGGACCATACTTTTGAGTTGCTCTGTCCTAAACCTTCAGACCTCAATCCTCTGTACTCCCTCCCTCCATTCTCTGATTAGCTCTTTCCTGAATTTGCTTCCCTTCCTACCTAGTGTGAGCCCCAAGGGCAGCAATTTCAACTATATCTCACCCCTTTATTTTTCTGGAATAATAGTCCTGACAATCTCCATCCTAGTATTGATGAAGCCACCATTTTTTCCAGTCTCCAGCCACAGCACCACTATAGGATATCATACTGCCTCCACTTACTTCTATTACAAATATGTGATTTTTTTTTTTTTTTGAGATAAGGTCTTGCTCTGTTGCCCCAGCTAGAGCGCAGTGGCATCATCATAGCTCACTGCAACCTCAAAATTCTGGGCTCAAGCCATCCTCCTGCCTCAGCTTTCCAAGTAGCTAGGATTACAGGCATGCACCATGATGCCCAGCTAATTTTCTTTTTTCTTTCTTTCTTCTTTCTTTCTTCTTTTTTTTTGTTTTTTGTTTTTGTTGTTGTTGTTGAGACAGGATCTCACTATGTTGCTCAGACTGGTCTGGAACTCCTGGCCTAAAGCAATCCCCCCAGCTGGGCCTTCCAAAGTGCTGGGATTACAGTGTGTCCACGAGGCTTCAATGTGGATTTTAAAGTAGATCAGCAATCCTTCATTTGTTCTTAGTCCCTTTTCCATTCCTTACAGTTACTTTGCCTAAATTTAAATATCTCAAATCCTAGTCCCTCTCTCTCAGACCTCTTAGTCATGAACAATGGAAAGAGAACTTCTTTAAGCCATCTAGTGGAATCACATTACCATGGTAACTGCTACACACTTAAAAATAAATATCCACTCAAAAACCCAATGTCATATTGAGATTTTCCAACTCTTAGAAAATTCTCCTGTCAGACTTATTCTTACAATGTGCCTGCCAACCTTATTTAGGTAGGTGCAACTGAGACTTCCATTTTACAGACCAGGAAACCAAGGCACAGGGAGTTGACAGCCCCAGTGTCAGAGGAGGGATTGGCCCCATGTCATGATAATTTGTATTCTCAACTCTTGAAGGTACATGAGATTTACTCAACGCCCTTTAAAAATATCTTTTCTTGGGCTTCAACAAGAGAAATTCTGTTCAATTAGTCCGGAGTGAGGCCCTTGCATCAGTATTTTTAATCTGTTAAAGAGGAATGTTACCATCAAATCAGTGGTTTTCAATTTTTGTATTTAACCAGGCCATCCACGGCCCTCATTACTCTGACAGGGCTCCTCAAATCCAGGGGATAGAGTGTTGGGTGTGCGTGTCTCTTAGAGACGGGGGCCCGCGCCACAAACCACCTCTCAAGTTTAAGTGAAGCTTTTGTTCTCGCTTGTGCAAAACAGACCTCTCTTCGTCCCAGAACAGCAGCTTTTTAAGGAGAGAGAACTGAAATTGGCCCAGGGAACACAGAGTGGAGGAAGCATGGATTTAACAACAGTGATCTGCTTTCTTCCACGTGACTGCCATTTTAATTCAACTCAGGTTTAGTCAAATCCACCCACCACATAAATTTGTCGGAAATTTCCTGGACTCCACACTTGATAGCATTTGAAACTTACAACACACACACACACACACAGTTCTTCTTCCCTTAAGGCCCACGCGACTGCAGAGTGGGAGGCTGGGCAGCCGGGCACGGCTGGGGACGCAGCTCGCAGGGGCGCGCGCGGCTCAGGGTCGGTCCCCGGCTCCAGGTGGGCCCGGCACCGCAAACTCGGGAAACCGCCGAGCCCCTAACGCCTCCAAAGTGGCCGCAGCGGCGACAGCGAGTGCCCCCGGCGGAGCGCCCTCGGGGTTGCTGGGCGCAGCTGTGGCCAAGGGAGGACGCACTTCCCGGGGCGCCGGCACAAGGCTCCGCGGCTCCCCGCGCACCGCACCAGGCGCCGCGCCCGAAGTCCGGCGCGCCGCGGGCGCAGCCGGCCCAGGTGCGACGGCGCTGAGGCCCGCCCAGGGGCCCGCGCGCCCGAGTGGGCCGCGCGGCGTGCGGCGCCCGCCGCCCGCCCTGACCGGGCTATAACTCCGGCCCGCAGGCGGCCGCGGGCCGGGGGTGCGGCCTGGGCCCTGTACTGGCGCGCGGGCCGGGCGCCACTGCTGCGGCTGCCCGGCGGCGGGCGGCGGAGGCGCAGGGGGAAGGAGGAGGAAGAGGAGGAGGAGAGGGAGGGGGCGGCGGCTGGCGGAAGGGACCGAGGCTGCCCGTGCCTTGCTAGACCCCGAAGAGGTCGCTCCCAACTCTTGCCTCCTTAGGAAGCAGGGAGCAGCGTTAGCGTCAGGACACCCTGGGACTAAAGTGCTGAGCCGGAGCTAGTAATGCCCTCGCCTCCTTCGTCTGTTCTCAGCTTTATTATTATTTTTATTTATCTCTAGAACATGGACTTCCCGTGCCTCCGGCTAGGGCTGCTGCTGCCTCTGGTAGCCGCGCTGGATTTCAGCTACCACCACCAGGAAAGGATGGAAGAGTTTTTGAAGACCGTTGCCCAAAGCTACAGTTCTATCACTCACTTACACAGTATTGGGAAGTCTGTGGAAGGTAGGGTCCGTCTGCTGCGCACGTGCCCACGCCCTCCGTCGCCCCTTTCATTCATTAAGTATGCCGCAGCTTCATGTCCCCGTCCATGAAGCTACACTGAGGGTCACCAGACGGGCAAAACAAATCGTACCTGGCGTGTTCTGCTTTTATGTGTTTTGCTTTATTTGTTTTGTGGGAGGAATGGTAGGAAGAACTGAATTTTGCTGAGCTTCTCCATTGTAATTCAGTGTCACTAATCTTTTGCATTATTGGAGTTCTGTCTTTTTGGATCTTTCAGTTATTGGTTATCTGGGATGTATTTTAGTTCCTTCTCAAGATTAATTCCCAAAGAAGGCTGTTTATCCATCTCAGTTTACCTTTTTGTTGGCTTCTTTAAATATGACTTGGATTGTTAGTATCATTTCTTCAAGTCTCTTTTAAACTAAAATAGTGCAGTTTTGTAGGTAAGATTTCTATGCCATGTATATTTAGCCCTATGGCTTAAAGTTATGAAAAGCTATCATTTCTACAAATTTCTTTCAATTTTAAATAGTACAGTTCCGTTAGTAAGATTTGTGCCATGTGTAATTAGCCCAGTGGCTTAAAGTTCTGTGAAAAAGTGTCTCTATGATTAAAGGTTGTACATAAAATGTATCCATTTGAAGAAGACAATTCCTAGATAATATGTTAGCCATGGTTGATACTCTTTCTAGCATTTTCATGTTTATCATTTATAATTATTGTTTTAATTTAGAAACTATGTATATTTTGTTCAAGATCACACAGATGTAAACTTTATAGCCAGGATTGGCACCCAGATCATTTGGATAAGGCAAATGATGTTATCAAATTATTTCTTAATCCTATTTTATTATATTGATACCCTCAAGTGGTTACCAGTAAACTTAAGGCTTAAATTGAAAGTTTCATAAAGTTTATGTAATTTGGATCTCAACTCTTTGTAGAGTGTGTTCAAACTCTACCTGGATTTTAGCTCTGAGCTTTTGAGTCAATTAGGAGTGTCATAATTACCATATTCTTAAGTAATCATTTTTCAAAAAAATTAAGGTCACAGTTTTTATATTAAAGAAAAAGTATTACATAAATATACTGATGTGCAACGCAAAATAAAAGTCCTAGGCTGTGTGTAACAGTACCTTTGTTTTTAAACAACATTGCCAAATAGTTGGTGCCTGAATTACTCTGTATTGCTCTGTAATCCAAAATTATAGAGGGTGGATGTGTGAGAAATCATATCTTGAATCAGTATATGTATTCAACCTTTTGAAATCCTTCCCCCCTAGGGCTAGAGTAGAGCAATTAAAAAAGATCTAAGAATACTAATTATATTAATAAAGGAAATATAGAACACAACTAGCTTGAGTTATTGTTCAGTCATCATTTAAACCACTAGATGATGAGTATGTTGTTACTTTTAAGTACTAAATGATTTTGTGAGTTTTTATGTTTTCCAAAAACAAAGTCCTTGTGAAAGACAGTTGGGGACTCTCGTTTCTAATGTGAATCAGCTATTCTGATCTATCCTGCATGAAATCAAACCACAGTAACAGTGAAAGCCAGTAGGCTTAATTTTTTTTTTTTTACCTTGTGTGCACTCTTGTGGTTAAAGTACTGAAGGGTTATCATGTGAAAATAAAATCTGACACTAGCAGTCAAACATTTGTGTTGAGTATGTTGCTCTGAATAATTACTCAGATTAAGAAAAATCCCAAATCTGCCATTAGGTTCCAAGTGGTAGGTTAAACTATACACAAGTAACTGGGAGTCACTTGCAAAAGTGTCCCTGCATATTAGCGTGATAATTAAAAGATGGTGCTCCTTTGTGAAGTACTAGATAGGCAATTTTCCCTAGCCATTCTGCCCTCTGGTGTAGGATAAGTTTGCTTAGCAAACAGGATGTATGTGCTAGTCATTTATTTATATTATATGTATTAACATGGGCAACCTTACCCAGAGGGAAAGTGATGTTCCTACCCAGCCAAATATGTTTTTAGTTTCTGTAAATGTATATCACATATATTTTTGTTGTTGAAATAATGGGTTATATTCTGCTTTTTTTTCCATTTCACATCATTTCATTAAATATTTCCATGAATTTACAAAGTCTACAGATGTGAATTAGTTGCTGTATAGTATTTTATTCTATTGATTATGTGAATTTCCTTACTTATTCACCTCTTTGTGTAGTTTCTGATTAATTCTGTTGTAAACACTGATGCTATGAAACCATTGATACATGCTGTGATAATTACCTTCTATTGTTATTAGTGTTTTTTAAACATTTGATTATGAAATTTTTTTTTTTGAAACTGACATAAAATTTGAGTGTGCATATACCCTTTTATCTAGATTTAGCCATGGTATACTGATCATATTTCAGTTGACCCTTTTTAAGGAAACCCCACTAATAGTGACATAGTAAAGAAAATCTTAGGTCAAACAAGAAAAATAACTCAACAAAAGGACTGATGACTGAGTTCAGAAAAATCAGAACGGGTACAGTGTTTATCGGTTCATTCATTGATTCATTCATTCTTCCATTCAGTTAAGGGAACACCTCCCTTTTTTGCTATTAACCCTTTTGTCTGGTGGGATGCCTGGAACATAATCAAGAATCTAAATCTGTTTATTTAATGGATTGAATATTTGCCGAGCAAGATCCATGGGAGGCAAGCAAATGTGTATGCTGTTTGTTCCCTGCCATTAGATATCCCACTTTCAAATACTAATGTATTTATTGTGGATTTCTCAGTTTAGGCTTTCCATATCCACCCCCAAATTAGTTTAGGACTGGGCGGCGGCGTGCGGGCGGGCGGGCGGCCGCGCCGCCTGACCGGCTATAACTCCGGCCGGGGCGCCGGGGCCGGTGCGCGCTGGGCCTGGTGAGGCTGCGCGCGGGCCGGCGCCACTGCTGCGGCTGCCGCGCGCGGCGGCGGAGCGCGGGGGAAGGAGGAGAAGAGGAGGAGAGGGAGGGGCGGCGGCTGGCGAAGGGACCGAGGCTGCCCGTGCCTTGCTAGACCCGAAGAGGTCGCTCCCAACTCTTGCCTCCTTAGGAAGCAGGGAGCAGCGTTAGCGTCAGGACACCCTGGGATAGTGCTGAGCCGGAGCTAGTAATGCCCTGCTCCTTCGTCTGTTCTCAGCTTTATTATTATTTTATTTATCTCTAGAACATGGACTTCCCGTGCTCCGGCTAGGGCTGCTGCTGCTCTGTAGCCGCGCTGGATTTCAGCTACACCACCAGGAAGGGATGGAAGAGTTTTTGAAGACCGTTGCCCAAGTACAGTTCTATCACTCACTTACACAGTATTGGAAGTCTGTGGAAGGTAGGGTCCGTCTGCTGCGCACGTGCCCACGCCCTCCGTCGCCCTTTCATTCATTAAGTATGCCGCAGCTTCATGTCCCGTCATGAAGCTACACTGAGGGTCACCAGACGGAAAACAAACCGTACCTGGCGTGTTCTGCTTTTATGTGTTTTGCTTTATTTGTTTTGTGGGAGGAATGGTAGGAAGAACTGAATTTGCTGAGTCTTTCCATTGTAATTCAGTGTCACTAATCTTTTGCATTATTGGAGTTCTGTCCTTTTTGGATCTTTCAGATATTGGTTATCTGGGATGTGAATTGCCCAGCTGGGCCTCCCAAAGTGCTGGGATTACATGTGTGTCCACGAGGCTTCAAATGTGGGATTTTTAAAGTAGATCAGCAATCCTTCATTTGTTCTTAGTTCCCTTTTCCATTCCTTAGTTACTTTGCCTAAATTTAAATAATCTCAAATCCTAGTCCCTCTCTCTCAGACTTCTTAGTCAATGAAACAATGGAAAGAGAACTTCTTTAAGCCATCTAGTGGAAATCACATTTACCATGGTAACTGCTACACACTTAAAAATAAATATCCACTCAAAAACCCAATGTCATATTGAGATTTTCCAACTCTTAGAAAATTCTCCTGTCAGACTTATTCTTACAATGTGCCTGCCAACCTTATTTAGGTAGGTGCAACTGAGACTTCCATTTTACAGACCAGGAAACCAAGGCACAGGGAGTTGACAGCCCCCAGTGTCAGAGGAGGGATTGGCCCCCGTGTCATGATAATTTGTATTCTCAACTCTTGAAGGTACATGAGATTTACTCAACGCCCTTTAAAAAATATCTTTTCTTGGGCTTCAACAAGAGAAATTCTGTTCAATTAGTCTGGAGTGAGGCCCTTGCATCAGTATTTTTAATCTGTTAAAGAGGAATGTTACCTCAAATCAGTGGTTTTCAAACTTTTTGTATTAACCAGGCCCATACACGGGCCCTCATTACTCTGACAGGGCTCCTCAAATCCAGGGGATAGAGTGTGTGGGTGTGCGTGTCTCTTAGAGAGGGGTGGCCCGCGCCACAAACCACCTCTCAAGTTTAAGTGAAGCTTTTGTTCTCGCTTGTGCAAACACAGACCATCTCTTCGTCCCAGAAAGCAGCTTTTTAGGAAGAGAGAACTGAAATTGGCCCAGGGAACACAGGTGGAGGAAGCATGGGATTTACAACAGTGATCTGCTTTCTTCCACGTGACTGCCAGTTTTAAATTCAACTCAGATTTAGTCAAATCCCACCCACCACATAAATTTGTCGGAAAATTTCCTGGACTCCACACTTGATAGCATTTGAAACTTACACACACACACACACACACACACACACACACACACACACACGTTCTTCTTCCCTAAAGCCCACGCGACTGCAGAGTGGGAGAGCTGGGCAGCCGGGCACGGCTGGGAGCGCAGCTCGCAGGGGCCCGCGCGGGGCTCAGGGTGCGTCCCCGGCTCCAGGTGGGCCCCGGCACCGCCAACTGCGGGAAACCCGCCGAGCCCCTAAACGCCTCCAAAGTGGCCGCAGCCGGCGACAGCGAGTGCCCCCCGGCGGAGCGCCCTCGGGCGTGCCCTGGGCGCAGCCGTGGCCAAGGAGAGGACGCACTTCCAACCGGGGGCGCCGGCAAAGGCTCCGCGGCTCCCCGCCGCCCA